AAACCACGTGGGAGGCAGGGAAAGTGCAAAATTTGAACTTTCAGTTAACTGTTGGCCAGTGAAAAGGGTGCCTGTCTGCTTCCTCACTCCTCCCAGCGTTTAGAGAGTGGATTGGGAGACAGTCTTCAGACTGCCTGGTACTGCTTGGACTGTATTTTCCCTGCCTTCCCTGAACCTTTCTTGACCTATGAGAAAAAGAAACAAAATATCCCCCTCTAGTGGTCAAAGGCAGAATAGCAGCTTCCCATTAGTTTCTATGGACGGAAAAGAGCAGATACAGATCAAATGGTTCTCAATGCATTCCTATGGGAAATGCAGATTTGACCTGAGAACTTTTTGACTTGAGAACCGCCTTCCAATACGGATTAAGTTCTCAAGTCAAGACCCCACTGTAGTAACCTGGCTGGCAAGAGTTAATGAGAAATGTAGCGAATTCCCTTTAAAATGTACCATTGTGAGCCCTGAAAGAAAAGATCAGAAGATCAGTCTATGCTTTATAGACTACAACAAAGCCTTTGACCGTGTAGTTCATGAGAAATTATGGGTTGTTCTAGAAGAAATGGGTGTGCCTCAGCACTTGATTGTGGTTTCCTCTATGGTGTCAGATAAGGGTGCAATTTTATTTCCTTATCTGTTCAATATATATGCAGAACATATTATAGAGAAAGCCAGACTAGATTCAGATGAAGGAGAAATGGAAATTGGTGGAAAAAAAGAAATAATTTAAGACATGCAGATGACACCAGCTTACTGGCAGAAAGCAGCAATGATTTCAAAGGACTTTTAGTGAAAAAAAGAAAGTGCCAAAGCAGGAGAGCAATTGAACATTAAGAAAACCAAAATCATGAGCTGCACGACTTTAATGTTGACAATGAAGCTATTGAAATATTTAGAGATTTTTGTACACCTTGTTTCAATCATCGGCCAAGAAATCAGAAGACTGAGATTCAGAAGGGCAACAATGAAGAAACTAGAAAGAATCAAGTGTAAGGTTGTGTCATTGGAGTTGAAGACCAAGATCATTCACACTTAGGTATTTCTGACTATTATGTATGGGTGTGAAAACTGAAAGCTGACGGGGGGGAATTATTAGTTTGAAATGTGCTAGAAGAGAGCTTTGTGGATATCCTGGACTGCCAGAAAGATGAACAAGTGGGTCATACATCAAATCAAGCCTGGACTGTCTCTGGAGGCAAAAATATTGAAACTGCCATAGTCTGGGTACATAACGAGAAGACAAAATTCTCTGGAAAAGACAATAATGTTGGGAAAGGTTGAAGGCAGCAGGAAAAGTGGAAGACCAAATACAAGATAGATTGACTCCCTGAAGGAATCATAGGCTTGAGTTTGGGAGAGCTGATTAGGGCAATTAAAGACGGGTTATTTTGGAGATAGACCATTCATAGAGTCACCATGAGTTGGGAGTGACTTATGACATATAACTGACAAAAATGCAGTATCAAAACTGGCCAGTAGGAGACACTAGAGAACATTTCTTTGTGCTCTTCTGTCCTGTGGATTATAACAGGACATTCCAAACATTATTTATGTGTAATGATACGAATTATTTGTGCTCTCAGAGCAACAGCAACAATAATGTCAACCCAGATGCTGAAAGAATTAATGAGGAATGCAGTGAGTTCTTTGTAACATGTAATATTCTAAGCTCTGGGCATAAAGAAGAAAACACTTCACTTACAGAGTAGCAATTATATGTAGTGGTAATGCCAGTGCCCCACTTAGTGCCAAGGCTCCCAAATTTGGACATACATGAATTAATACAGATTACCTCAAAAACAGGAGTGACCTGCAAGACTCTTAAGTACAGAGTCTAAAATTGCCTAACTGCAGCACTGATTTTAGGGGGTTAATTTTTACTCTCCAAAGTTGATCAGTTAGTACTGCTAAAATAATTTCTTCGTAAGGGTTACTAGTGGAATGTCATAATGAATAGAGTGTGTACTTGTATTCTTAGTGTACTTGGTGCTTTCCCGTCAGCATGCTAGCCACATTCGTGCAAAAACTTGTTTGCTTTATTCTTCAAGATCACATGAAATTTGGTTCCAGCATATGCTTCATCATGTGTTCAAGGTAATTAAATTGCTTCTGATTAGACAGAATAATCCCAGTGCTCCAGACACAAGCACTTTTTCATTCTTGCCCAGTGTGATGCATAAATAAAATATATCTGTGATTAGACAATAGGAAATGATTGTAAGAGGTCAAATGAAGCACACATCATATATTGGAAGAGCCATTTTTGAACCCATACAACAATTTGAAGTTCTTTCTTTAGCAGAAAAATAGGGAGTCTCTGTGCAGACAAATACTTAAATGGTGCAGGAATCCTAGAAAATGTTGATTTAAAATGGCTGCCTTAAATGGTACAGGAATCCCAGAAAATGTTAATTTATAATGGCTGCCTCTTTAAAATGAGGGATACGTTTCTCACAATTCCCACTGCTGTAGTGGAATTAAAATTACAATAGTATAGGTGGGAAAGCCATTCTTACCAGCACTCCCAGGCTTTTGAAACTGGATCTGTCACTAGAGAAGGGAATTTCTGAGGTGCTGATTGTGTGTGAGGTTTTCTCACATTCCCAATTGTGCAAATTCACTAGCCTTATTTTTCAGTTGTGTTCAGGTCCTGAAGACCCCATCTGTGTTTCACAAGTCTGATTTCTCAGAAATGTAACAGTCTGTCGAGTACATCTCTTGAAAACTGGATTTCATCTCTAATATGGGTTATCTGTAATGTGTCGTTTGGCTCTGGATCTGCCTGCCCTGATTGGCTGAACTCTCTCACCCTATAGTCATTCTTCCAAAAGTCAAAGGCCTTTTTTATTCAGAGAGGCTTTGTCAATTCTCTGGCTTCTGAGAAGAAGACTTTTAATAGGTATCACGATGTTATCTTTATCGATGTACTTCTAATTCAGTTTTAATTCAATTGTTTTAATAGCTGAACTAGTTTAGTTCTGTTTTAATATTCCAGATCTCTGAGTTTTTATTCACAACTTTTGGGGGGTTAATCTTATAAGCTGACTTAAGTCCCAGTTTTGGGAGGGAAATGGGATATATAAATTAACTCAATAAACTAATTTGCAAATATGTGTTGCAGTGTGCATTGACCTTCATTATATAGGATGTCACTTCTCTGAAACTACAAAAAGGGAATTTGATCTATGAAGGTATCTGCTGAGACAGTTTCCTCTTGTTTTGCAACAACAGCAACAGTCACAACTGCTCCACATGGATGTCATGAGTACACTTGGAGCCAAAAACATTGTCCTTGTCTTTTAAGAAATATCAAGTCATGGGGGAGGGATGATAATGTTAAACACGTATACATTTTTTCTTGCAAAGCTTTAGAAACTGAAATGTTTGCTTTGCCTTCTGATCTGTCTTAAAAGATTTTGCTTTATTTCAGTTTGCTGCAACCATTGACCCTCCAGGTGAATTGGACTACACCTCCCATTGTCCCCATAGTGCTGGCTGGGGAGAGGCGAGTTGTGATCCAACTGGAAGGTTCCAGATGGGAAAAGGCTGCTTAATCCAAAGTTGTGTGTGTATGTGTGTCTGCATGCTTACATATGGGAGACATATTCCTATAACTACACTGATTATACTGCTCCATGTTTTCTAGCTTGAATCAGTGTGGGAAAGGTCCACTGATGGTATTAAGCTACAAGATGCAGACACAGTTAATTCCATTTACAACACTACAGAGAATGTAAGATGTATGGATCTATTTAATTCTCATTCTCCTTTTTAGCTAGGTCACACAAAGTGTCGTACAAAATTTTGTTTTATTAGTGGCAATTTGTAGTGTTGCAAAATTTGGTTGGTTAATTGCTGGACTAATTGATTTAAATTCTAGGTTTTCATTGATTATTTGAGGCATCTTTTAAGGCAGTGGTCCTCAACCTTGGGCCTCCAGATGTTATTGAACTTCAACTCCCAGAAATCCTGGCCAGCAGAGGTGGTGCTGAAGAGTTCTGGGAGTTGTAGTCCAAGAACATCTGGAGGCCCAAGGTTGGGGACCACTGTTTTAAGGCATTGATTTTCCTTCTTTCTTAACTTTCTTCAACACTTGAGATGTGCAATGACAATCATAGAAGGCAGGTACTTCTTTCTCAAGCAAGTATTAGGTAAGCATACCAAGGAAACATCCAGATAGTGCCATGTATTTATGGCAGGGGTCTCCAAATTTTTCAGCATGAGGGCCACATCATATATGATCCACATTTTTGAGGGCATTTTGAATTCCCTGCCTGAGCCTGTGACATTCACCAGGCTGGATAAAAAAGCAAAGCGGGCCAGATGTGGCCCACAGGCCATAGTTTGGAGACCCCTGATTTATGGGGATGCAGTGCTGTTCAAGCCGGAGCAACAGAAGTCATGTGTGTTGTCTATATTGTAAGAATTTGGGCGTAATTCCTTTTAGTTAGCAGAGCATAAGGTACAACCGCCAGTTGTAGCACAGGGGAAACATGAAAGAGAATAGCTAAAAGTTCCATGTTCCACCACCTTCACAGCAAGTTGGGAGTTCAACAGGAGGAAAATACTGGTGGGGGGCTGTCCATTCTAGCTCTGGTGTTGTATTTCTCTTCTGGAGTTTCTAGCCCTGCTAGAAATAATATTTTTTCCAGGAATGCACAGTGCTGACACTAGGTGTTCCCTTCGCAATAAACATATGGCTTCCAAGCATCTCTCTGGAGATGAGGAATTGTCCCCCAGCAATACCCCTGAAATGCAATAGGAAGCCACACAAGAAACATTTACACATCCTCAGAAAAATGTGCAAAATTACTCTAGAAACAAGAGGCAAAAAGGCCTCGATGTCTAAGCAGAGCCGTCTGAAACCCCAGTGAATGCTGAAAGTGAGAGGAATGAGTCATAAGCACATGAGGTGGGGAAAAAAATTAGAGTGAGCTGAAGACACAAAATCATGCATCTCTTCTTAATACCATCACATGATGAGTCCCAAGGCCTTAATTTAATTAGAAGGGAGGAGGGGAGAAAGGGGAAAGCATTCCCAGTTCTACTCCAAAGAGGTTTTGAGAAATAGCAAGCTAACCTGTGTGCATTTTGTGTTCTGGGTGTCCGGTTACGGCAACACAGCTATGAAGTGGGCCTCCCTCTTCTTGCTCTGTGGATACCTGCTCATGATTGAAGGTGTTCTACTTGCTGTAGCCACTAAACGTGAGTGCTTTGCTATCCCTTGCAGATAATCACCTGTCTTAGGACTGCCAGTTTTGACCAGAGGGAAAGTGTACAGCGCTTTGTCCTTTTGGAAACAAACTCATTTAGGTTGCAGTACAGAGATCGAACTGTTGCTATCAGCACGGTAGGAGCTGCCAGAAGGTTGGCAGCACTAAACTGAAGTTAAGAGGATAACGGTTATGGTGTTTTGCTGTGTATAGATTTGCGTTGGCAGTGCTATACCAGCTTACATGGGGTTTACTCTCAAAAATTCAATGGCAGTTGGTATGTAGGATTACTTTCACAGGGTGTGCATTTGTAGCCCCTATGAAATACTGGGTCAGCCATTCACATGACCTTAACACTGTGGAACAATCCTGTTGTAGCTGGAATAACTCTGGGTAATGGGGGAATTTGCTCATCCTTTCCAGTGCTTTCTAAAAGATGGTGGTGCTTCAAGCCTGCATTAGTTTTAGAACAGGTAGCTGTGTTGGTCTTTTCTAACATATGCAAACTATCTGGCAAAACAAAAACAAAATAAATAAAGACAACAAAAATGTGGTGGAGCTTTAAAGACTAATTGCTATATTTTAAGGTGAGCTTTCGTGGACCGGTCTGAGGAAGTGTCCAAAAAACCTCACATTAAAATATATCAGCTAGTCTTTAAGGTGCCACAACATTTTTGTCGTCTTTATTTTTATTTATTTTGGTTTTGCTTGATAGTCTGCTTTACTGATTTCTGAGTGCGAAGAAGGGCAGAGAGGGAAGTCAGTTTTTTAAAAAATTAATTAGCACAGAACACTGTGCACACTGTGTTTATGCAGTATGAAATTAGCTTTGTTTTTTTAGCTTCCTTAAACTTTACAGTAATGGAAGTTACTACAAACGTTGCTGAGGTACAGGAACGTCCAGTTTAGACATTGTTCCAATCCTGTTTAGGGAGAAAAACTGATAAAAACCATATTTTTCTTGACAATCACATTGTCTCCTGTATGAGTGACCCTTCCTTCTCTCATAAAGTGTTATTGCCACTTTTAAGTTCATTAGACATTGTTACATGGAATATGAAGACATATTCCAAGGGATATGAATAAGTGCAATAAATACTTTCTATAGTGCAATAGATGGGTTTTGAAACTATTGATTTAGTGTTAACTTGGTGGTTTTAAATTTAAAATACTCGACTAAACTGTATTAATGTGCAGTATTTGTTTTAACGTGATACATTTATTCAGTACTGTTTTAATACTGTAATGTATCATCCTTTCAGCTGGACCTTTTTAAAGTTTATGTTGTTATCCACATTAGTCTGCAAGGGAGAAAGTCAGGCTAATGAATGAATTAATAAGTATATAAAAATAAAATAATATTAATCACAGATTCAGTTAGTTTTTACAGTTAATCTCCCCTTTTTGTCTTCTCTTTAATTTCCCCATTTTCAGAGCGAATTTCCTCATTTACTAAGTCCAGATAAGAGCCTAAGTATTTGTATACAGTCTAAGGCAGTGTCAGGTTTTTGTATGTGAAACAGTACCTGTGGGAGATGAGGGCAGCAATGTTTAGGCTTCTGGGTGTTTTTGGATTGAAACACCCATTAGTCTTAAAAGCAAGTATAGGCAGTAGTTAGGGATGATGGGAACTGCAGTACAAAAGCATCTGGAGATCACAAATTGCCCAACTCCGTTGGGGGAAGAAGACAGGAGGTTGATGGGACCTTATACAACACCAAGCGCTACTTTTCTCCCTGTACATGTGCAAGATGTGTACATCCCAGAATAATTCTACGTTTGATATTGTGAGCATGTGAGACTCTCATGTAAGCTATGTATGACTGCTATATGCCAGTCTTATTGGTTGCATTGCACTGTTTCCATTAGGTGTTTTTGTTCAGCAGCTTACAGCAGCCTCACAAGATGATCTAGAATGGATTAGGTCCATGGTAGGGCTATAAAAAGCATTTAAATAAAACAAACAAACAACACTTTGTGACCCTCCATGGTCCCACTACGGATCTACTGTGACTGCTTGTAGTTAAAGTAACAGAATGCACGCTGGACACTCAACAAATATTTATGGAATACTCTGCATCCAAAGGATTTCTGTCTTCCTGAGCTAAGGCCGTGGCTAGGAAACACAAAGGCTTGTTTAGTTTGCTGTTTTCTCCCCAGAGGCATCCCACATATTTGAAGTGGGCATATGTGTCGGGGGGGGGGGAACTGTACCCAGCCCAATTGTAATCATTTAAATCCGTGAAATCAATAAAACTTAGCTCTCTGAGTAAGAAAGAATATTTACAATTGTAGTCTCAAGAGTGTGAGTGCCACGATTACTTGACACTTCATTGTTCTGTAAGCCAAGCTCACCAATGGGGTGAGGGCTCCCCAAAGGCCGTACTTAAGAGTGATAGGGTATAAATGGAGAGGGGCGGATACAAATATTAATTCCAGAGGTGTGCAGAGCTGGGTGGGTGTTTTCGAGTGCTGTAGGCAGCACAGCTCCCTGGGGAATTCTAGGAGCGATGGTTTAATAACATTAATCTGTATGTCTCTAGTTAATGCCATCTCTCAACCCTTTAAATGCAGCATGAGCAATTCGTGTTTCTTGAACAGCTGCTGGATGCAGCTCTCATAGCCGTTTGTCAGCAATGATGGGAACTGATATCCTGCAAACATCTGCTTTAAACACTGGGTGTAGCAGTTAAGTGTTGTGAGGAATGCTGTCAGTCTTCATCTGGTAGCAATTTATAATCACTTTGCGTTGATTAAAAACAATGATTAAAAACAATCATACGTTGTTTTTAATGTAGCTCTTTTATAACAAAGAAGAGCAAGTGTTCTCTTGGGCCCCTTTTCTCCAGCTGTTCAGGACTGACACAACTATGTTTGCCTTATGAAGCATCTAGCATCTCAAATAAAATAAGCATTGTCTTCAATACTCTCCCAGTGGGTCAAATGAGATGATTAGCAGTTTCACTGTAAGAGGTAACCATTGGTGCTACCAGTAAATATAAAAAGTTAGAAGTCCTATATTGACATTAAAAATATAGTTCACAGTAGCCACTTCTTTGTTTCGTAATTGTTGACGAGGGAAAGTAATTACATCTGCCCTTTCTGTGAAGTAGTGGATAAATAGACTGCAGTGGAGAGCTGAGTTTCTTCCTGCGATTTGAGGTACTGAAGATCACTTGAGGAGAAAAGCCCACAACATTAAATGTTCAATTTCCACAAAAAAAGAGATTTCCTCTTTTCTGTCTACTGCTGTTAAGCACAAGTGTGAGACAAGAATCAGCTGAATAGTCTCCAGGACTACTGAGGCAAACTAACGGGGTTGCCTCAGGCTGTAGATGTATGGTGAAAGAACAGCATATTTATACTGCTAGAGATGTGAAGACTTCCTTGTGGGATTTTCTGTCTCATGTGTTAATCTGCAGTATGTTGGCTGGTTCCTGTTGCAGAGTTTTGAATTTCAGATTAAATTCTTCTAGCTGCACAGCAGAGGTGTGGGGATTCACAGAGCAGAATAACCTCAAATCCCCCAGATTAGTTCACCCTTTTCTCATTAACTGGCACTTACAGTCTCAAAAACTCACTCTGAGGCATTAGTAGCAGAAGGAATAAAAAACATTTTCTTTGCAGTTGTGAACAGGTCAAACAGCAAACTAACAAAGAGAAACATTGCTTCCAACAGACAAGGAAGAGGGAAAGAACACCAGAGCAGAGAGGCAGGGCTCTTTTTGAACTCAGGGTCAGGATAGAACTGTTGATTAATGCCGGATAGATTGACAATCAACCCAGCCCAGAAAAAGTCCTTCTCAGCCACACCTACTAGAGGCAACATGCGAGGTCGTAAGAACTGCTACAGTTTCCTGAGTATTAGGCGCCTTAACTTTGAGTTAGGGTGCATCTGTTTGCTGCTCTACCTTCAGCAGCCAAATGTGTTTGGTCAGCCCCTTAGGGTCTCTGTCACACATGAGGCCTTTTGGAATATGAGCTGCCTTGGTGTTAGTTGGGAGACTTTTGTATTCACACTGAAAATGTGGCATGATTGCAACAAGGAGACTTCTATGAGCTGACAATGTGTTTAATTTAATGTGAAGTATGAAAAGCACAAAAAGGGAAAGACTAAAGAATGCTAATTAAAGAAACGAAGGAAAGAGAAAATCCTGTGTCCATAAATGAATATCATAGTTTGAGTATTCATATGTTCTCTCTGTGAATGGGTTGCCATTTTGGATGTGTGCAAATAACCTGTCTGCCAAAATTAGACCCATTTCTGAAAATTTGTTAAATGTGTGTTCAGCTAGATGTACAAAAATCTGCAGATGATGCAGCTCTACATAGCTTTCAAGGAAAGGTGAAAGAATTTCTGTCTTTGTATGGATTTGTACACTGTATGCTTTCTTTTTTCTAGAATTTCGAGATGTGATGACTCGCGGTAGCTCACTTCCTCAGAGCAAGTTCCACAACAAGCTAAATAGCTGGTCTTCTGATCATAATGTCTGGAATGAGAAGCTTTACCCTCATTGGGAGGAAGGAGACCCTAGATGGGAAAACTGTTGGAAAGGTAAGAGTATAATTTGCAGGTTGGGGACAGAAAAGATCTAGGCTGATCTAATCTGGTTCAGATTTCACTATAAAATCATGCTAGTAAAATGCTATAAGATGCTATGAGCAGGCAAGGTAGAAGAATAGTTTTCTTGCCAATAGGACAAGTAAAATAGGTTTTACTTATGAAAGAAAGTTAGCAATACAGGAGCTTGCCTTATATGAAGTCACACCCTTTGGTCACATAGCTCGATGTTGTATGCTGGCTTTCCTGAGACTGGTACTCTTCAGATGTACTGGATGACAACTCTTGCCATCACCCCAGCTCCCAGCTTTCCTCTTCCACTTAAAAAAATAATATATATATTTTTAAAAAACACAGTAAGATAGAATAAGAACAGCATCTGGAGTACTGTTAGCACTAGGTTAACAGAGAGATGTGTAAAGTTGTGTATGCATGTATTTGAAAGGAAAGTTTCAAAATACTGATTGTATTCAGTGAAGTTTATCGCTTCCAAATGATTTTTAAAACTTTGGAACTCAGACAACCCTTTATTTATATAACCAACGTCCAGGAACTGTACTTGTATAAACAGATGTTGTTTTCATTATCCCTTTAACAAGCCTGCTATGACAGCCAATGTCAACTTCTTGGCAAATGTTATTTGCCTAATTTAGATGCCAACTTTAGATTACATACTCTTGTTAAACTGAATTCTGGCTGAGGCTTTCTGGGAATTGTAGTCCAGAAAAGTATTTTTCCCAGCTCCAAGAATGACCACACTCCAGTCATTCCCAGCCGGTATGCCCCGAGGTATGACCAGTAATAAAAAATATCCATAAGAAAATGTTGTGCCCCGTTCAAGGTTTTGGCTGACTGGCCAATTGTGGCTTCTTTCATGAGACTCCATCCCTTCGCCACAATTTTCTCCTTGTTTCCGCAAGCATCAATTGCCCTTCCATGCCTACATAGATTATTCAGCTCTCTGCAACCCCCCCCCCTTTTTTTTTGTACTTCTGTAAATGTTACGGCTTCCCTGAGACTTCCAGGATCTCCCTCTTCTTTGTGGATTTTGCTGTTTTCTTATTTATATCAAAATGAATGTTTTATTGCATATTCAGAGTTGATGTGGTTTAATCTCTATTGTATTCTGCCATATTATGTGTTTCTTTGCTATTCTAGTTTTGGACAGAGTTTTGGTGTGTGTTTTGCTTAAATTAAACGCAAAAGGCTCATTCCACATTCTGGGGTTGTATTGAAGATCACAAAAATATATGAAACTTTCTTGAATGGTGTTGTTTGATGCATGCATTTTATTGTGAGGATGGGAGTGGGTGGAAAATTGAGGGGAGGAAGGGTGGATCTTAAGCTCCTTGCGTGTAAGAAATAAATTAATCTATGAGATCTTCACTTCTTTAGGGGGGAAAGTAGTAGCCACACTGACCAGCGACAGCCCAGCTCTAGTAGGATCCAATGTGAGCTTCAGTGTGATCCTGAAGTTCCCCAGATGTCAAAGAGAAGATAACGACAGCAATATAGTATATGACAGATATTGTGTAAATGGTAAGTAAGAACTCCGTTTGGATTTTTTTCACTGCACTGCCTCGCTCCATGCGCCATTCCCAAACAAGACTTATTTTTCCCTGGATGTAGGTACAATGTGCCTCCATTTTCTTAAACTGAGTGACTGTACAAATGCATGACAAGTATTGTCATCACGACCTGGGGTTCAAATCCCAGGTAGGCGGCTCAAGGTTGACTCAGCCTTCCATCCTCCCGAGGTCGGTAAAATGAGTACCCAGCTTGCTGGGGGGCAATGTGTAGCCTGTATAATTAAATTGTAAACCGCCCGGAGAGTGCTTGTAGTGCTATGGGGCGGTATATAAGTCCAATAAATAAATAAATAAATAAATAAAGGGAAAGGGCTGGATGCATAACTGCTAGATTTTCACTGTGTTTGTGCTTGTGTATACATATGCGCACGCAGCACACAATATTTGTGAGATGATGGCCTTAAAGTAAGGCCATAGTCTGCTATAGACATTTCTACAATGTGCATTGGTTTCACTTAATCAATTTTAGAGCTTTCATGATGAAAGCCTTGTATCACAGTGGTTAAATTGCTTTACTGGAGTGAAAATTCTGTTCATGACCTGGTTCAATATCAGTGGATTCAGGGAACTGGCTCAAGGCTGACTCAGCCTTCCATCCTTCTGAGGCTGGAAAAATGAGTACCTGGGGAAGGGAATCTGTAGCCTGAAGGATTAAATTGTAAACTACTCAGAGAGTGCTTTACAAAAGGTGGTATAAGCAGAACACTTTGCTTTCCCCATGTTGACTGTAGGATTCTGGGAGTTATAGTTCAAGAAGTAGATTTCCAAGCTCTGTCCATTATGATTTCTTTCCTCTTTGATCCAGTGACACAGCAACCAAAATCCTGTTGCTTAGCGTAGTAATTTGCATTAAATGAGGCCTATTGAATCAACTTTTCTGTAAGTTCCATACATTCAAACAGGCTTACTCTAACTACAGTACTAAGAAACAGAAAACTGTTAGTTATTTGACTTATCATATCTTTTATTGCCAGAATAGGAAGCAACATTTGTAGGATTTGAGTAAGGGGGACTGCTCTGTAAGTCTTATGTTCAGTGGCGCTTACTTTCTAGTAAACATATTTCAATCAAATAAATATACATTTCAGTATATTTCCATTCAGACTGTAATCTTATCTTGGAAAGTTTGTCTTGATTTATTTTCTTTCAGGTTCTGTTTATTCATATTTTCCGGACCAGTATGTTTACAACTGGACACAATGGATAAATAACTGTGGTTCAGAAAATTGTACGTATAACAACAGTTACAATGTCTTCCCGGACGGCAGGCCTTTCCCCTACCATCATGACTGGAGGAGAAAAAACTTTGTCTATGTGTTTCACACGCTTGGTTAGTTTCCAAAATGTATCTTAATTCTGCTTTGTTTTTTTTAAAATTGTTATTCATTCATGAGACACTTTGTATGAAAATATTTTTACACAATTGTCTTTATTGCTTATGATTACAGATTTTAGGAGTTGAAGTTAGTGGTCACTGGAAAAGGGATAGTCAGTTCAGAGTTGTCATATTGCTAATGTCATCATGGAAAGCTCCTTCTCTAAGAACAGAACAGACAGAAAATTCTTAATTCCACCCAAATTTAACTATGGGTCAGCTGACATATTAAGGCAAATGTATATTTCTTCATCCAAGCTTGCTAGTCTATCAGCACTACATACTCAAGACATCAGGCATACAAACAAAACTATGCTATCACCTAGTGACTAGTTATAGAACAAAAGATAGTCGTAAAATACAGTTTGGAACAAGCTCTTTTAGAATAATCAGATAGCCCACAAACAAAACTATGCTATCACCTAGTGACCAGTTATAGAACAAATAGTCATAAAATACAGTTTGAGGCAAGCTCTTTTAGAATAATTAGATAGCCATTTCCTCCTAAGAGTGCATTGCTTCTAGATACAGAATAACCATCTTGCTGAACGAGACCAATATAAGTACAGAATAACCATCTTGCTGAACGAGACCTTAGATCCAATATAAAAGTACTGTCTACACAGCTGACATACGTGTTATGTGTCATACTAATGTTTTGAGTGGTACCTATTAAAAGTAAAATATGTACTGTATAAATAAAGTAGACACAATCACTATGAGACAATCAAGGCGTTTTCTATACTGCAGTGGTGAAGTGTTCAACTCTGGACACAGAAGCCTAAGTTCAGATTGTTGCCTAGCCCCAGACATATCTGCAGGGATGACCTTGGCCAAGTGTCTCAGGTTCAGCTTAACGTACTGCACAGAGGAGTTGTGGAATTAAATTGGCAAGACCAAGTTCATCGCCTTGAGCTTTTTAAAGAGCTGGCTGAATGTATAATGCATTTCTCACGTGTGTTTCAAGGTTTCTTTCTTTCTTTCTTTCTGCTGTACTTCTAGTAAAGGGTATACAGTATTGTTTATATGCTGGAGTTGCATGGAGAGCCACACAATCCTTTGAAAGCAAGGGAGAGTCAGGCTGAGCAAGCCCACGGCAATGCCATCTTTGTCACCTTTTCCCTTTCTACAGGCCAGTATTACCAAAAGACAGGAGGTTCTTCAGCTATTGTGTCAATCAACACAACAAACATCACTGTTGGCAAACAATTCATGGAAGTGTCTGTTTACAGAAGGGGTTATCGTTCATTTGTACCAGTAACTGCAGCAAGTATTATTTATGTTGTAACAGGTGAGTGCCCAAGGGTTAAATCATCCCTCATCAGATCTTTAATGTCTATAGTTCCCCAGTGTGCATCCCAGCAGAGCCAGAAACAGGTGAGTGCCCAAGGGTTAAATCATCATTCATCAGATCTTTAATGTTTATAGTTCCCCAGTGTGCATCTCAGAAGAGCCAGCTGTGGCCAGTTGGGCAAACTGCACTGTCCCAGGATGCTCCCAGAAGAAAGGGAAGGAATAGTAAAACATTTCTGAGTACTCCCTACCTAGAAAACCTGAGAAGGGTCGCTATAGGTCTGAAATGACTTAATGGCACACATAGTTATTATTGTAGAAAGATCACCCCTACCTCATTATTAAAAGAACATGTCAGGGGTTCCTCTTGACACCAACATTGTGACCACATACCCTGGAACTCTCAGCAGCAGAAGTACTTTGTCATTGTCTCCACACTCAGGCCAAATGGGAAAAAGACCCTATTTGCATGGGAACATTTACATGCAGAGACTCTCCCCATGGAGAAGTTTAATCAGTATCCTGTCCCCATTTATAGGGAGAAGCACTCCCTTCATGCCTCAGTGTGTGTGTAGAGCCCTTCCTTTGCTAGCTGAGCATCTGGAGAACAAAGGAGTTTTGGGAGAGTATAGATGAGGACTGGCTCATGTAGCTATACAGTCCCCCCCCCGCCTTAGATTCTTGCAGAGTTCCCCCTCAGGCATTCCTATGTTGGGTACGTGTCATATTAACTTCACCAGCACCCATTTAAAATGGATGGAGCAGCTACAGTGGTGCCTCGTTAGACGATGATAATCCGTTCCACTGAAATCGCTGTTTAGCGAAATCATCATCTAGCGAAAAACATTTCCCCATTGGAGTGCATTGAAACCTGTTTAATGCATTCCAATGGGGAAGAATAGGTGTGTTTAAATATGGCACTGCCTGTTTAATGCATTCCAATCGGGAAGAATAGTCGTTGTCTAGCGCAGTGGTTCTTAACCTTTGTTACTCGGATGCTTTTGAACTGCAACTTCCAGAAACCCCAGTCAGGACAGCTGGTGGTGAAGGCTTCTGGGAGTTGCAGTCCAAAACTCCTGAGTAACCCAAGGTTAAGAACCAGTGGTCTAGCGAAGATCGGCCATAGGAAAGCCGCTTTGCAAACCACGAATCAGCTGTTTAAATAGCTGTCTTGCGAAGCGTAGGTCCTGAAAACACCTGTTTTGCGAGCGAGGAGGGAACTGTCAAAATCGTTGTCTAGCAAAATTGGTTTGTGAAGCAGGGGCCAAACATTGTCCACCAAAATTCCCCCATAGGAATCACTGTTTTGCGAATCGCTATAGCGATCACAAAAAGCCAATGTCTAGCGAAAAAACTGTCATGCGGGGTAACTGTCTAGCGAGGCACCACTGTATTGGGTTGCCCTTTAGAATGACAATCTCATCAATTCATGGAAGTTCTTGAACCATTAATAGTTCCTGCATAGCAAAGAGAGAATGTAAATAAGCTAGTTATATTGGGAGGAATTATATTGTGTGTGTGTGTGTGTTTAAATATGGCACTCCAATGTATTCGGAGGATTTGATAGAAGGACCCATGCAATTATCTCCCTTCCATGGGCTATCTAATTTATGTACTGGCTTATGGAGGCTGGCCACAATGCTTAACATGCATTGAAGAGAGGTATATATGCAGAGAAGCCTTGTCAATGATTCTGTCACTGAAGGAAAATAATACATTTTATTTTTCATCATATTTGATCCAGACGTTTCATCTAGATCACTCTTTCAATATGGATCTGGGAAGTCTTACCCTAAATATGAAAGTTTCATAAAACTCTGATTTTGTCACAATCACAGCTTCTTCTGTCTTAAATTGCTTTCCTTGAATCCACACATACAGTACTAATCTTGTTTGACTTCATTTTATATCCAGATACAGTCCCTTTTTATGTGAACATTTCCCAGAAGAATGACCGCAATACTTCAGACCACATCTTCATCAAGGATATCCCTATTACGTTTGATGTTCGCATTCATGATCCCAGCCATTACCTAAACCACTCTGTTATTTCCTACCATTGGAATTATGGGGATGGCAGTGGTCTGTTTGTTTCCAACAGTTCTGTTTCAATGCATACGTACAGACTCTCTGGGAATTTCAGTCTAGGCCTGTCTGTGCAGGCTGTGATTCCCGGACCGTGTGGACCGGTGACACCTCCCCCACCACTACCTACCAGCCCAGGTAAGAGTTTGTGACTCAAAGCCAATGGAAACAAATGAGTTAATTCTGCAAATATTTCGCAGAATAAATATTCATAGAAGAAATTAAGAAACGGATAAAAAATAGCTGCATACTTATTCCCAACATATAGCTACCCCTTTTTTTTGTAGCATTTCTAAAAAGTGATATTCATTGCTGACCTTTGGCTTTTCAATATTACAGGAAATATTTAACATGGCGTCTTTCTTTCCTCTTCCCTGCATTATGATATATATAATGGCAAAGAAGTAAAATAAGCATTAGGGATGTTTTATTTTGACTTTTTGGATTCCAACTCCTGTAAAAATTCTGTCCAAGAATTCCCCGGACAGAATTCTGGAAATTTCCACTCAAAAGCACAAATCTACAGTGCACTGGATTTGGCCCACCAGAGAAGGGCTTACCTATGGCAGTGCATTGGCTTATCCAGCATTTACTTCCTGTTGTTAATTTAAAAAAAAAATTAAAATATAAAAAGGAAAACTGCCATGGTGCTTCCTGTGAATTGTAGTTTTTTTTTTTGAGAGGCACCCTCTGTGGAGCCTAATGGGCAGGGAGACTACAATTCCTAGCATCCTCTACACCAGGAGGTCAATTGTCCCCATTGTCCTGTGAATAATCAGTGGGAATGACAGCCCCGTATTAAGATATCGGTGGCCTTTCAAAAAATTATTTAGCCAAACTTGAAAGTGTAATGTTTTTGCAGTATTTAGTAAATGTTAGTTGTGCAAAAACTGAACGTTTCTGGCATTTTTGTTAATGCTAAAAGGGAATGTAAAAAAAAGTAACAGTGACATTTTTACTTTTTACAGGTATTGAAAAATGTAACATTTTGTGCATAATGTGCCACTTTTCACATTTTACCTCCAGTCTTTATGCAATAACTTTTAAGATACACACTTTGCTATTGAGTTACAGGATTCCAGAAAATAATAGTTTGACCTAACTTTGCATGATATAAAATACACAAACTGAAATTTAGATTATAACAAAAATGGGCATCTTTATGGGAGTTGAGCAAGAATATAGTCTAATAGGTACATTGTTTTTATGAAGCTGATAATGTCTTGCTCTACGATGTAACTGCATTAATCTTGTCTCTTTTCCTTGATTGAGGAGTACCTACCCAGTTGCCACCTAATATGACAATTACCACCTCTAGCAGCTTGACAGAATTGTCAACTGAACAGCCTCTTGCGGAAGGATGCCACATTACTCGATATGGGGCTTACAAAGCACCACTCTTCATTACCGGTAGGCATCTATATCAATTTTAAAAGGACAACTGTTTTGCTGGGTACTGAAGGGAATTTATTCGGCTTCATTGCATAACTAAGTGGCTTCTATGAAACTGGTCTTGCAGAGTGTTTCTACCATCCTGCTGGAAACAAATGGCAAAAGAAGAGAATTAATAATGGGATGGTTCTTTATTTGGCAACATTAATTAGTCTGTCAAATATTTATCAAGCAAACTCACCAGCAGGGCTGACCTTACCATTGGGCAGAGTGAGGCAACTGCTGCTGGTCCTAAAATTGGGCAAAATTGGTAGTCATTGTGGGCTCTACTGTTGTTATTATTATTATGGACAAGCTGTGGCAATCCTATGAATTAATTAATTAATTAGCTCTATAATTCATGACCTGGAATCTTGAAAACTAAAGGTCATGGCTTATTTTATTAAGTTAATCCATCACATGTTAGATCTTCTTTTCCTACTACTTTTTTTCTGCCATTGTTCTCTTTTCCAGTGAGTCTTATCTTCTTGCAAAAAGTCTGAAGTAGAGACGGGCCCGAATTAATTCAGATCCCTTTGTACAAAGTAAATTGCATGGCACTACAGGTGTTGCACGTACCTTCTCCCCATCCCCTGGGCTGGCCAGCCCACTAACATTTCATGGCACACTGCCAGGGTCTTCCTTCTCCAGCAGACCTCCAATCTATGCAGGAGCTTGGGCTGCCTGTCCCTGCCTCTTCCAGCAGCTGACCACTCAGACGAGAGGTGGAATGGGGATTCTTCCTGTGCAGCCAATGAGTGGTGATGAAATGTCAGTGGGTGAGCTGACCCAAGGAGGTAGGCAGTGGGTATGCACAGCACTTGCGGTGCCTCACAGCTTACTTTATACAAAGTGTTACACATTAATTCGGGCTTGTCTCTAATCTGTACATAGTAGAGAATACCATAGTATGGATAACCTTGGCCTCGGTATCCTGATTACAGCACCATGTTTCTCTTGTTTTGGGTGGCTAATAATTTTACGTGGGCTGCCTTTTCTTGTCATCATATAATCGATACCAATTCTGTTTTGCTCACTGAAAAAAAAAAAGGTTATCAAGTTCAGAAGAGAGAGGACGGAAGTCCTGGATGGTGATTACCCAAAATAGTAAGCTCACACCCAAGTTGTTGGGCAACCCTTTCAGGCCGTAGGTTGCCTATAATACCCAAGGTTGCAGCACTGAGAAGAACAGATTCCGAAACACTGGCTGCAGAAAACTCAGAAACCTTGAGGTGCCCCATGGATTGGCAGAACCCCTTAGGAAGGGATCTTCAGTTTCTGACCAGTAGGTCAGATTGATTCTCATTACAAGCACGTTGAAAAGACCAGGGGCAAGGCATGGATACCAGGAGTGCAACCCCTATAGCCACATTATTTGGGGAGTGGTGAAAGTTAGAGAACACTCTCTTCTCTTTCGGAAACCAAAAGCTCAGTTTAGCATATAAGGGAGTCGTCACCCTGATAGAACGTGTCTGACAGAAGTGATGAGGAGGAAGTGTTAAGGGTAATGCCTAAGTGGTGGAACAAGACTGTGGTGAAGAGAATCATATTAATGGGACCCCAGACAATAGTATCCAGATGACAGGAATTGGAGAACGGATCTGCTAAACACATAACCCCTCAGTAGGAGAGTTAAGAGAGTTAAAACCAGCACATTGTCAAGACTCCTGGGAGGAGTCTCTCTCAGAAAGTCTGATATTTTGCCAATTGGTTTCTTTCCCCAGAGGGAATCCTTGAAGTAAATATTATTCAAATGACAAGTGTCCAGTTGGCAGCCACTGAAACTGAAAACTCCATGGTTGATTTCATGGTAACCTGTCAAGGAAGGTAGGTTTTTGTCGTACATTGTGACACCTCTGCTTTTCACAGAGCCTGACACAGAAATTCCAAAACAGACACTTTGCTTCTTCAGCAAGTACTAGACTGTTTGCCACTGAAGAGGCTTCCAAAAGAAGAAGTGGCACTGGTGCAATTGCATGTTACTACTATAATTGATCTGTGTTGATATACTAATGGCAAGGCAAGAGGAATTTAATATACAGCAGGACCCCTGTATCTGCAGGATCAGTATCCACTGATTCAATTATTATCAACAGTCTGAAAATATTAGAAATATTAAAAGAAAAATCATAGAAAGATATATAAAAGTGAAATTACCAGAAGTGGCCACTAGATGGAGGCAGAGATCATTCGTCCCAGAACTGGCCACTAGATGGAGGCAGAGATCATGCTATCTATAACATTCGTATTAAAATAGCATTTGCTATAATTTGCGATTTCATTATCCGCAGGGGCTTGGAACTGATCCCCCACGGATACAGGGATCCTACTGTACTATCAATATTGTGAAACATGCACTTTTGAGCAGTTAGTTTTTCAAAAGCATCATTTGGAATTTTCATATCTATTTATGAGTGGATTTAAATTTTAAAATTAGACCATTGACAAAATAAAAATAAATTTAGGGGAGATGATTGTGCCTCGTCATGAACCTTGAAAAAGTTTAGACAGAAGAATAACAGTGTGACAAAGAATGATACTGGTGTTAGTTTACCGTTGTTGCTTTTCCGTGGCTGTGGTATAAGGATAGTAAAAATTATTGGATGAAAAAAGGCCCAGCAGATCTTACATATTTTTGGGTGTTTCCAGGAGGCTTTTTTTCCCCTGGAAATGTACATTTTTTTAATTTATTGTAGAAAATGTATAAGTTGCTTTTTATTTTAAAAAAAGAAACATTTCAAGGTGGTTCATATAATAAAACCATAACAAAATACAATAAAACCATCAATAAAATAATTAAAAATACTATAATTAGGTTTAAGAGTAAACTGTCTAATTTAGAATCACTGTACTTAGTTTTTTAAAAAGCACTTGTGTCCCATTATCACAAGACTCCACTCTTGAGATTTGATGATGCTAATCTTTGTACTTTGCTGTTTGTTTTTCATTGTAATGTGTCTGAAATTAAGCACATCTCTAATCTTTTTTAAAAAATTCTATTGTCATAGGCCTTTGGGGCATCCTGTTATAGAAAACCAAGATGAATATTTGATCAATAAATAAACCAGCTTTTTTGAATTGCAAACTGTTGAGAAATGCACGCTCTTTCCTCCCATACCATAGTCTTCCAACAGATGCCTGCACAATCATTGCTGACCCCACGTGCCAGGTTTTACAGAGTGAGGCATGCAATCCTGTCAACGTTGCTGATGTGTGCTTGCTGACCATCAGAAGAGTCTTCAATGAATCAGGAACCTACTGTGTAAACATCACCCTGGGTGATGCTGCAAGCTTGGCTCTCACAAGTGCTCTGATATCCATCAGCGGAGGTGAGTCTTGATGGAATAAACGTGTTCATTTACAGTCAGCATTTGGAATTATTTCAGAAGGGATTAATATATCTGTCAGTGTAGGGGCTCCTTTGTGCTAAACAGACTGCCAGAGGTATGCACGAAGAGAGCTGTAGTGTAGCGTTAAATTTTGAAGTGCTGGAACGCGTTCTGAAAGGTTTCATAGCCACCCCTCCGAGCAAAGTCTGTATGCTTTGCTCTCTGCTGCTAGCAGGTCTTTCTTAAAGCCAATGGCTCTCAACTGCCCATTCAAACTAAAATCATCCCAAAATACAACTTTGCATCATATCAGGAATAGCTTGCAATATATTGTTGCTGGGAAAATTAATCCCTTCTCCTCCTCTTGAGGAGGATTTTGGCTAAGCTGAGATGGGCAGAAGCTGGAGGACAAAGCTGAAGATGATGTAGTGTGTCACCTCTGCTAACTCTAATTCCACTCCAACCCCAGCAGTGGAAGAGAGAATTTCATTGGTACATGTTCTGTGTTGTTGGATTCCAACACCCATCAGTTGAAGGAAGTGGAAGCAGTGGAACATGTAGTCCCAGTATCCCATGGAAGATGACCAGTTCCCCACCCATGCTATTAACCATCCTGATGGCTGGATAAACCACTAACATAATTATTGTGTTTGAATTACCGGTAACTGAATATTGGGATTGCTTTCTACCTTAGGTGTCAAACCAACTAAAAGTTAGTTCAAATTAAGTCAAAGTTGGTTGCAGTCCCATGATCTGTTGCATTCAAAACAACAGAGCCCAAACAGAGAGCAATAGTTGATATTCCTCTTAAAAGTTCCTACTCAGTTATTCCAATTACATAATGCAACAGTCATGATTGCTCTTAGCAAAAACAGAGGCAAACAGATAGCCGTGATTCAAAGGTGTGACAGAAGACATAGAATCTAAGCAAAACAGATAGCCGTGATTCAAAGGTGTGACGACATAGAGTCTAAGCAATCCTTTGATTTGGATTCCTGCATTAAGCAGGAGGTTGGACTTAATGGCCTTATAAGTCTTCCAACTTCATTATTCTATGATTCTGTGACACAGGTGAAAACTTCTTATTCTCTTATAAAGGCCAGATATGAACAAGGACTTTATGACAGTGTTGCACTTCTGCATCTCCCCCTTCCTCTCCACTTTTCTGAACACATATTTTTAAAAGGTCCTCTCATACTGTAAGGCCCAGACTGATACACGTACAAGAGTTGAATATAGGTGGGAGTATCATACACATGTTGACCACAAACACTGTAAGCATTGTGGGTCAAACCAGGTAGTATGCACGCATGAGAAACAATAAACAATGCTGCCAGACACCATAGTACATGCTTTTCCTCCCTTCTATATTTTGGATTTTTGTGCAATTCGTTTTGTGATTGGTAACTAAAAGATCAACAAAGCTTATTTTGCAATTCTTATTTTGAGGGCCCACAAAATGCAGATGGAAAATGTGTTAATTGCAGGGAGTATGTATTTCCCTTGGTGTCCCTTGATTCCTCAAAAGCCTATTTGGCTGCTGAAATAAGCTGCTTGGACATGCTGTAATGCCACTGATCTTTCATTTGTTGTTCAAGATGGAGGGTCATTTTCAAGAACTGCAGAAGGAGTTCTAATTGCCTGTGGATTCTTAGTGGTATGTGCTGCTGCCTTGGCCTACTTCCTTTACAAGTAAGTGATGGCTCCCACTTGTCAAAAGCTGAGCTAGGCAATTGATTTTATGATTTGCAAAACTCCCAGAAATGCAGCATTGACAATAGGACAGCTGTTTGCATATTGCCACAAGAGAAGACAAAAGAGGACACCGATTTGCATAAATATTCCTCATGCCACATTCCATGAGCAGATACTCTTTTGGAAAAGAATGCTAATAGTGGGCAGAATCTTAAGCCCATCGGCATAAATCTCAGCAGGGAATTGCCCTAGAGAAGAAGTCCATGTTTGCTCTTGATGTTGCACCCTAGTCATTTGATCTGGTGTACCATATCAAAATGTCTACACTGACCTCTTAACCTCTGGCAACTCCCTGCTGAAATTTTCACAGATGGACATATGCCTGTGTCATGTAATGTAAAAAGAGACATGATACATTTTAGCATAGTGGGCAAGACTGCGTAATGTGGAGATGTTGACTGTTGACAGACAAATCCAAGCCCTGTGTTCTCCGTTCTTAGAATTCTTGATCTACACACAGACTAGTCAGACTACATTACATATGGACTAGACCCACCTTCAAAGAGAGGGCAGCCCTTTAAATATGGAGGGCTCTTTTGGAGATAGAAGGTAGAATTAGCTTCTGTACACATGGTCAACTTAGTTGGGAGGACTGGTTCTTACTTATCTTGGTAGGCTATTTCTGCAAGAGGAATGATTTTATTTCACAGAGCATCTAGGTGTTGTATTTATGGCCCTGAACCCATAATCTGGATATAAACAAACTAAATTTGTTTATGTGATACACCCTATTGGAAAGTAAAGGTTGGTGGCAAAATGGCTTGCTGTTTCATTGCACAAAGTGTACAATATATCAGGCATATATAGAAGCGTGTGTGGCAAATTCCTCTTATTTTGGTGGCTGATGTCTTCTTACAGGGCCCAGGCTTTCCCTCCAGAAATGGGGACAGAACAACCCAGAGCCTCACTGAGGGCAAAGATACTAACCCATAGCTGATTACACAACAGCTTAAGCATGGCTGTTATTTGTCAATTTCACATGCAGGATTTTTCATATACTACCCAGGACCAATGGAAAAAAAGTATTGCCAAAAAAATAAAAAACCCCACCACGTTTGTCTTTTCCTGGGCTTAGTAATGCAGAATTAACCAGTTGCTGGGCAAGGAGGGAGAGAGTGGGATCTGAAAGGCTCATTAATATGTTGCTAAGTAATAATAGAGGTAATTTAGAAGTGGGGTAGCCACAATTTTGCATTGGGATATATATACATTTTGGAATGATTTGCCCAGGAGCAACCCATGAGTACACAGCCATTATTTTGGAGCGTCCGAGCATTGCATGAATCCGAATCAACTCTAGTTTTTATTTCATTACCTGCCTTTTCCTCCAGCAAAGCCACAGTGGCATACATAGGGTTTTGTGGTTTTTTTAATCTTCATAATAACCATATGAGGTGTGGTGAGAGAGATATACCATTGACACAGGACCATCCAAGTGAATGTCATGGCTGTATTGGGATTTGATTCCACATTTCTCTGGTCCTCCTGGCTTGCCTTTAATAAAGGTACCACATTAATTCTCCTTTAAAATCAGTATTAAAAATACAGTAGTGCCTCGCTTAACGAGTGCACCGTATAGCGATGTTTCCGTATAGCGATCCCTTTTTCGGGATCGCTATACGGAAACATACCCGATCTTCGCAATGGGGAAAACCCGCATTGCGAAGATTGGGTATTGCGGCGGCCATTTTGGAGCCGGCAGCCGTTTTCACGCCGTGCCCTCCCTTAGCGAGGGCTCGAAAATGGCTGCCGGCAATTGGAATCCTCGCTGAACTGGTAAGTAAGAAAGGTATTGGAACGCATTAAGCTAAGTTTAATGCGTTTCAATACATTTTCCCTACCCGTTTAGCGACGATTCCGCATAGCGAAGGTTAATCTGGAACAGATTAACCTCGCTATGCGGGGCACCACTGTAATCTAATATCAAATTATACATCTGCCACGATCTTCCTTTATAGTTTAGCCACCAAAAAGTATCTGCAAAGCTGAATAGCTCAGTGAGTTAGGAGTCAGAGGTTGGGAGTTCGATTCCCCAGTGTGCCTCCTGAGAGAAGAGCTGGCCTGTGTAGCTATGGGCAAGCTGCACAGTCCCAGGGCACCCCAGAAGAAGGGAATACCGTGATTCCCCAAAGACAGGGTCATATTAATTTTTGCTCCAAAAATGCAGTAGGGCTTATTTTCAGGGGATGTTTTTTTTTTCATGTACAACAATCTACATTTATTCAAATACAGTCACGTCATCTTCTTCTGGTTGCTGCACAATGGTGGAAGGCGGGGGTCCACTTGACTAGGGCTTATTTTTGGGGTAGGGCTTATATTACGAGCATCCCGAAAAATCATACTATGGCTTATTTTCAGGTTAGGGCTTATTTTCGGGGAAACAGGGTAGTAAACAACTTCTGAGTAGTCTCTACTTCGAAAACCCTGAGAAGTGTTGCTGTAAGTCAGAATTGACTTGATGGCACATGGATTATTATTGTTATTGTTATAATCAGTGAAAACGTAAAAGAAGCCTTTCAAAGCATTCTCAACCCATTCCCCTCCCCAACCACGAGCTGTTTATATTTTCTGAGCTAACCAACCTCTTACAGTTCTTAAGGGATGTTTCAAAACCCTGACCTCTTCAGCAATAACATTTTGCAGAGAAGAATAAGACGGCCCAGGATTTGGGTCTGTTTATTCCCACTGCCGTGTTACTACTGACATGACAATGCACCATCACAGGAGGACTTGTTAGTAAATTAATTTTTAATTTTCCTTCCAGGAGATACAAAGAATACAAGCCTGTTGAACAGAAGAGAGAACATGAGACAACTAGTGAAGGACTGAGTGTTTACTTTAACAACGTCAAGGCTGTTCTTTTCCCAGCCAACAATGAGAGAGATCCTCTGTTGAAAAGCAAGCTAGGAATTGTCTAACACCAGTGTAACCTTTTCTATTTCCATACATTTGGGGCTTTACGTTCCATCGTTCTTCAGTAAAAGAGTATTTAATCACTAAAATGTGGGGTTAGATGGGAAGTTTGTATTACATGCAGGATAATGGCTGGTGTTCAATTCATTTGGAGTGTAACATGGCACCCTGTGAAGAAACTGAACATTTTTGCATACAGTACTTATGTTCTTTAATATGCTACCAGTATATTAGCTAATAAACTGTTTAAATGTATAGTTTTGTGAATGAGTTATTCCTGAGTATTAGCAAGTATGTAATGCTTCGAGGAGAAGCCAAGGGAGGTGGTGAAGATAAAGGTTCTCATTCATCCCAGAGTGCAGAACTTGTAATAATGGAAGTTACAGGAAACCAGATTTAGGTGGAATCACAGGAAAACTGTCCTAACTCTTAGAGCAGTATGGAACTAATACTTTGGGAGGCGAGATGCCCTTCAATGCTGGATACATTCAAGAGATAGACACCATTTATCAGATATACTGTACTTTAGCTTGGATTCCTGCATTGAACAAGGGGATCAGACTTGATAGAATAGTAGTATAAGGGACCTATAACACGATGAGTTGGTGAATGTTGGTTGAAATGATTGGCTTAGCTTAAATCCTAGGCCCCCTCAGCTTGGACAATTACTTCTAAATAAACAGGCAGAGATTCTTGCTGTTCAACAAGAAGTTCCTCGTCCTAGTTCTAGTATGCCTGTCATGTACTACTCAAGATCAAACAAAATGGCAGAGACCAAATGATTAGATGCTAAAAACATATCTGTGTGACCACAGCAGAACTACATGTTTGCAAAAAACCAAAGGAAGTGCATTTGCTGTGGCTTAGCTGCAAACAAAGAACTGTACTTGTAAGACATGCCCAAATGGCAATGATTTGTTTTGTTCCAGTGTGCATATTGTTGCCATGGGCTTGTTGGGGGCTGGGTATGACACCACAGGATAGGAAGATCATGCTTGCCCCATCCTATTTTTTTTAAAAATGGTGTTCATGCAAATATTGGGATGAGCAATTTTAAGTATACATTTTAAAAAGGACTCAACATCTGTATGTGTGAACAGAGGTGTAAAGAAGACGAAAAAATCAAATATATGAGAGTAGTCAAGAAAGGAGTGAGGGATGGTGGTCTGATTAGAAGCAGAGATAGCTCCACTGTAGTTAGAATCTCAACATCTTAATTTTTACTGAAATCCTTTACATGGATACCTACACATAAATAAAGTTGACCTCACTTCTATGTAAATGTAACTAGGACTACAACTTTAATATAATACATTGGGTTTAATATAATACATTGGGTATCATTAGTACAGAAGCTTACTTTTAAAGGGCTGGACACATTTGTTTTCTCAGTTTTGATTTCTCTGTTGTGCAGATACATGTACCTCTTTATGAAAGAGTGGAGAGAAAGGGGAAGTGTAACTGTGGATGGATTTAGAGAGCTGGAAGTTAGTTTATATTAATGAATATTTATAAACTACTTAAGCCTGAAGATGTGAAACTATGATGAGGAAGTTCACCAACTACCACTCGTTCTATTCTTCATTACCACCACTCATCGCCACAATTAAAATAAGTCCCAATTAGAGTAAGCCCATTTGAAACCATGGAACCCAGGGAGCAATTGACTCACCATATCCCCACTGATTCAATAGCATGATACTAATGGTATACTTGCTAGTAGTGCTCAATTAAGGGCACTATCTTTCTTTCTCACATTGTGTTTCAAATGTTACCAGTAACATTAAAAATGTAAAACTCAGAAATTCTGTCTGACATGGAGTTGATGAAGGCCACTGGCTATTATGGTAAAATAAGTAGTGTGGTACACAACACTGAGACTTCGGAACAAAGTCCCCTATTCTGGCCAAGCTGCATTGGCTGCCCATCCGTTTCCGCGTTGACTTCAAAGTGTTAATGCTTACATATAAGGCCGTAAATGGTTTAGGACCTCGATATTTGGCGGAACACCTCCTCCCACCTAGATCTACCCGGATCACCCACACGAGCCAGGAGGTGAGGCTGAGGAGCCTAACGCCGAGGGAGGCCCGGAAGGAAAGGACATGAAACCGGGCCTTCTCGGCGGTGGCTCCTCGCCTCTGGAATAACCTTCCTCCAGCGATTCGTGCAGCCCCTACGCTGGGCATATTTAAGAATCAACTAAAAACATGGTTATATGTTCAGGCCTTCCCTCCTGTCAATACTTAATTTCTTTCTCCTTATATTTATAATTTGTTTTATTATATGTGTTGTTGTTTAATTTGCAATTTTATGGGTTACTGCACATTGTAAACTTTTATGGAAGCCGCTCAGAGTGGTCAATTCGATCAGATGAGCAGGATATAAATCAAATAAATAATAATAATAATAATAACAACAACAACAACAAATGCAGATGACAAGCATTTTTACAATCTTGAAACAATGGCAACTTCAGTGGGCTGGCTATGTCATCAGGATGTCAGACAACTGCATCCCAAAATGTCTCTTCTATGGTGAGATTGTTGCAGTTACTCAATTCCATGGTGGACAAAAAAATTGATTCAAGGATATACTGAAGACAACATTGAAAGAGATTAATACTGACCATAGGAAGCTCTGACTCAAAACCAAAGTACCTGGTAAACTATCAAATAAAGGGCTAAACAATTCAAAACAAAAGGAATCAAATAAGGAAGAGAAAGGTGAAGAAGCAAGGATGAAACTTCTTGGCAGCCCAATAAGCCCAGGATCAGCTGCCTTCCCCACACTGTTTCTATATCTTCCTGACATATTTAGTCACCTGCATGTCCATCAACTTGCTTATCCAAGCCCTCTCTCACCATCTTCGCCTGACGGTGAATCTGATAAGATATGGTCATCTCCAAAAACGAAGGACGAACAGGCAACCTCAAGGGTGTATTCGCGAAGGCTTTCACGGACGGGATCTAATGGTTGTTGTGGGTTTTTCAGTCTCTTTGGCCATGTTCTGAAGGTTGTTCTTCCTGACGTTTTGCCAGTCTCTGTGGCATCTTCAGAGGACAGCAACCTGTGCTCTGGTGCAGTTTGTTTGGGAGTTAGAAAGGTTAGGAAGAACCACCTTCACAACACGGCCAAAGAGCCCAAAAAACCCACAACAACCTCAAGAGTGTTGCCTATTTTGAGAACAACGGCATGTATGTAAAACTACTTTCCTGCAGATTTTGCATCTGGTGCCCAACATCTGGAAGGGAATGAAAATGTCAGCACGCCATCATTATCTCCGTTTTAACACACTTGAAAATCCCAGATGCAGACACACAAAGAAAATTCCTAGCCCTCTTTGGGGGGGAAAAAAAACCACAGAAAGGACCACAGTTTAAATATTACTCCTTTGCCTTATTATTCCTTCCGCATAAAAAAGAATGTTTTCCTCCACTGGAAACCACAAGCCCTCGCTACCCAGCTGCGTAGCCGCAGATGAGAAAAAACATTTCCTGCTTACTCTTTCCGCGACGCCGCACAACTGACAGCTCTCTATGATTTTAACTCTTTAACAGCGCTGCTCCTCCTCCTCCTTCCAACCGCCCTGCACGAGAGGTTCGCTGCAAGCGTTTGGCTATAAGCTTACAGCCCTTGCGCAGACCCGGCTTTTCTACAACTCACAGATCGGGGCACACTCGAGGCGAGCCCCAAACACAGCGTAACCCCACTCCCTTGAGGGACGAGACCGGCTTCCAGCACGCGCCTGCGCGAACGGTTCTCGGGAAGCCTGCCGCCAACGACGGACCGCCTACTTCTTACGCTGGCCAATCAGTAAAAAGATCCGGCCTTCGAGTATTATTTTTTTTTCCCCTAGAAGGTCCCGGGTGGCCGCCATGTGGCGGCGGAGTCGGGGCGTTTGGCCTTTGCTGCAGCTAGTGGCGGGCCGGGCAGTCGCGGGGGCCGCCGGTTGCTCCAGAGGGTTAAGGCGATCCGCTGCGGCCGGGAATCCACTGGAGGCGGCAGGGCCCGGCTTCCTCCGACGAGTGACCGCGTCCGGGTTGGGCCGATTCAGCAGTTTGGGAAGCTCGGAGCTTAGGGAAGCCCCGGAGGGCGCTGGAGGGGGGCAAGAAGAAGCGCCAGGAGGCGGTGGAGCTGGGCAGGAGCCGCGCACGCAGCCGAGTCCCGGCGGGCCTGAAGGTCCCTCGGGTGAGAAACCTCGTTTTGTGTCAGGCGCCGTGATCCAGTGGGCGGAGGGGGCAGTTGCTTTTCTGGTTTCCCCTTTTCCAGAGAGCGGGCGTGTTTACCGACCGTGTTATCGGAGGGATTCTTCTTGTCTGGCATCCCCTCTGCGCCAGCTACTGTGGGTGGAGGGTTGATCGTGCCAGTGTGCCTTCTGCAGGGATCTCTGGTGTGCTAATGAGCGTGTTAGTCAATAACCCCATTGAGATGCTATTATGTATGGGAAGGAACGTTTTTCTAACATCGTTTAGTCACCTTGAGAAAGTAGACTTTGGCAAAGAGTTAGGACAGACTAGACATTTTACTTTGAGTCATAATCCAGCATGCATTTGGGCAGCTGCATTTTCAAAAACCCTGGTCCAGACATAGCAGTGAGTGCCTAGAGACCATAGATCAGGCAGTTAAACTCAGCAATGTACTCGCTTTCCATCCATAAGGATGTTTTAGAATTGAATCTGTGCTGGGGGCATTCCTCTCATGAGCAAGAAGAGGTGTTTGGACCGGGAGGACTTGTAAATCCTGGCTTAGAGGGTTGTTAGTATCAATACAGGCAAGCTGGGGATAGGCATGGGCCCTTCCATCTCTTTGTGTGTGTTGTCAAGAGGCCCCTAGCCCACCACTGACAAAGATTGATGCTCTTCCTTCAAAATGAGACATCTGTGTCCTACATCCCATTTCCCAGCCAAATCAGACTTAAGAAAGCCTTCAAGAAATGCATTCAGCCTTGTAAACAAGGTGTGTACATCCTGTGCCTTGGTTCTAATGAAGACGATCGTTCTAGGAGCACCGATTTCATCAGAAGCAAGGCACATGAGCCACATATATTGATTTCAGAAAAAAATACACAGAAGAAAGGGTCAGCGTTTGTTTTTTCTGCAGTGACAGCTGGGCATGGCCTCCTGCATGTTCTCAAGGGAGATGGCCTTCGTGCTGTGGGCCACAGAAGTTGATCAGCCTGTACCATTCTCAAGGGAGATGGCCTTCGTGCTGTGGACCACAGAAGTTGATCATCTTTAGGGGAATGAAGGAATGGAGTCTTTGGACTATAGATTGTTTTTCAGATGTTGTGCCTAGCTCAAGTCATAATTGTATAGCCCATGAATGTGAAATCATGCAGCATTTGCAAAAGTATTTATCCATCGTTTTCACCGGAACAACAAAGGAAATTTTGGGTTTCGTATTCTGAATTTTGACTCTCAAAAATTCCAGCAAGCCTGGTTTGCGATATGTTTTGATTTTAATTGTTTTAATCTTGCTTTTTTTCAGACCCTGCCCCTTCAGCATTCACCTTTCATGATATAGTATCCCTTCTGAGACAAGAAAATGCCAGCGACATTTGTGTCATCCATCTGCCTCCGGAACTGAAGTACAGCGATTATTTTATTATTGTTAGTGGATCCTCTGGAAGACATCTCCACGCCATGGCACAGTACCTGTTAAAAATGGTATGGAAAAATACTTCCACTGTTGTTGTTCTTCTGAGATGTCAGAGGATTTTTAACAACAAAAAACTGGTTGCTCTGCCTTGCTCATTAGATGGTAAAAGGACAGGTAGTAAAAAATGAGGCCTTTGAAAAGATAGTAAGAAAAACTAGGTAGGAAAATACAAGGCCTGAGGATGTGAAGTTGACAATGTGTTGAATGCAATGAAATTGAAGATAACTTGGATAAAGTTATTTGAGGATTGTACATTGTAACACTTTTAACTATAAATGTTTGTTCAGCTGTAGGAATGTGGATCAGAGTTTAGGAGGTGAAACAGAAAAAAACCCCATTCATTATATACAGTGTCCCATTTAGCAAGATATTGTGCATGACATGTAGTAATATATTCCCCCCTTGCTATTTTGCTGCAGATGCGGTAGATGGGATGCAGGGGTAAACTGAGAAAGAAAAAGGAGGAAAAAATCAGGAAAACACAGAGAAAATAAGCAAATTCTTTCTGCTCTTTTTGTTTATGAGGATTTATTTATAAGGCTTTTTTTGGGACAGCAGCTTGCAGAGTCCTCCAGTCTGCATGGCTGCTGATATTCTAGTAGTAGTATTTCCAAAAAAGGTTACTTCCACAGTCTTTTAAAATATGTATATTTTAAATTCAATATGTCTTTAGCTGTGAGCTAGCATGGGGGTCTGGTGGGTGCTAGATGTGTGCCATTTGTGTCTGTGTGTGTGTGTGTGTGGGGTTATTCTAAATCCGAGCTAGCATGGGGGTCTGGTGGGTGCTAGGTGTGTGTCATTTGTGTCTCTCTCTCTGTGTGTGTGTGTGTGTTATTCTAAATCGCAGAGTTCTCCATTCAGGGTGTTCCACCTTCCAGGCCCACACCTAAACTGTGTTCGTACAGAGAAAGGTTGGGCTGGAAGTCTTAATGGGCTAGGAGAGGTCCAACTCTGGCCCAGCTGCCTGTTAGAAAAAGAAGTTACAGGGTGCATGCTCTCAACAATCACCAGGACAACTTCCTTTTCTAATGGGCAGCTAGGCACTTTTAGCTCAGCCTTTCTGCAGGGAGCACAGTTCTGGTGTGTGGGTCTGGCAGATGGAACTCCCAGAATGGAGGATTCTGGGATTTAGAATCCAAAAAAACCAAATGGAATATCCTGAGGGAGTGTCATATGAACAGGTTGTTCTCTGGAACTGCTTTATAAGAATAGCCTGTTAATAAAGCTGTTCTTCTTTTTAATACAGCAACAATTCAAACTATTGCCTGATCTATTTCTTAAAACCACTTGTCTGTCCTTCCACCCCCATGTGCATTTGTTATTACTCCTTCAGTCTGGAATATGAATTGGATTCTACAGCTTGTTATCTGAGTGTAAAATTTGCAGGCAGAAATCCCGGTTTCAATCCCTGGCATTTATTTTATTAAACTTATATACCACCCCTCTAGAACATGTCTACTCTGGGCAGTTTACACAAAATATAAAAAATATAACTATGAAAATATATATGTAATAGGAATAAGACACAAATTAACAACCGAATCCAATATGGCAAAAAAGAAAAAAGAGAAATAGGCTAGGAGGTGATGGCTGTAGGGAAGGCCTGCCTGTATAACCATGTCTTCAGATTTCCATAAAGAGCTGGCAAACAACCCTGTTTGAAATCCAAATGATTCGGGGCCAGTCAGGATAGGTAATTGAGAACTACATGGTCACTGACTCACCATCTGGCAAATTGCATGCAGAAAAAACCAACTGTGCCTGATATCCTGCTTCTCAATGGTTTAAGACAGCACATTATGGTTAGTGGGGTTATTTGAAAGTCTGCAAGATACCTTCAGAAAGCAGCACCCGGCCGTCAATTCCTGTTGGACCTTCCCTTAGGAAAGACAAGCAGGGCCTTAGAGATGGACACTCCTGCTTGCATTCATATGGTCTCCTTAAAATAGTGGTGTTGACATGCATCCTACAGCCTTTTTTGGGAAAGCCTAGTAAGGCTTGCCTGGAGAAGAGTTGGTCTGGAGACTACAGTGTCTGGCAAGCCTTTTCCAACACTTGTAGACGTATGTCACTGCTGTTCCTTAGGAAGTACCTGTCTCTTTTGGGTTTGTCAATCTGTTGCTGGAAGTGATCGTTCTTTTATTGCCTGGGTACGAAAAGTAGGTTGCACTGGTTGTACCGTTACAGGGATCAGAAGTAACTAAGTATGGAGGGAGCTAAAGCAATTTTGGAACAGTACATACTGTTTCAAATACTTTTAAGATGGGATATTTGCTATAAATGCAGGGACACACTAGATGGCTTGTGAAGTTCTTGGAAGGCTTAATCAGATTCTAAGTAAGTTACAGTGCCCTACACTTGGATGTGAACATTCAGAAGTATGATTCTTGTTTTATTCACTCACATTTTTCTCTTCCAGTACAAGTATACAGTGAAAGACTGCAGGACTCAAGTTGTGATAGAAGGAAAAGACACCGATGACTGGTTGTGCATAGATTTTGGTAATTCATTTTATTATTCACAGTATAGAACAAAACCAGAAGGAGAAAGAACACTAGATAACAACCACATTGTGTCAACTGGTTGAGCAAGCTATCACAGTAATGTATTGGAGGATATCACTTTGAAGGGAATTCCTCAATGTTTGGACTACAGTTCACATCATCCACAGGCAATGAGTAAGAGGTGTTGTCGTCCAATACATAGGGGAAGGCTTGAATTGAAGGAGTAACTTTTTACTGCAATATGTGGTTGCAGTGCAAGTTCTCACACTACCACCGTGGTATGTTTATTATAAAGGTTGTTGTTGTTTAGTCGTGTCTTACTCTTTGTGATCCCATGGACCAGAGCACGCCCGGCCCTTCTGTCTTCCACTGCCTCCCGGAGTTTGGTCAAATTCATGTTGGTAGTCATCGAAGCACTAATTTCCATTTCTTAGCTCTCAGGAGTGCTATTTCGAGTGGTGTCTGGGCCTTCTTTACTGAGGTGCACTACCCTAAATGCTTAAAGCAGAATGCAGCATATCTTCAGATCATGCCTATTAATTAGCTGATTGAAGACCAGAATAACTCAATTTAAGAATCAGCTACAGGGGAGGCAAAGAGTTACATTGCTTCTGTTTTGGCTTGTGATGTCAAGTGTACTTTTAATGTTTCCTATTTGCTTGGCTAGAGCTTTTAAGTTCATAATCACTATTGATACTATAACATAAATTGGATACACTAAACTTAAGTTCCAAAATATTATGAAAGCTGTCATGTTAAATAATTTACAGTGCATTCCCATCTGTTTCTACTCAGCAAAAAATTCCATTGAGATCCATGGGGCTTATCCCCAGGTATAGGATTGCAGCCTCAACATTTCTATAATATTGAATCTTTAAAAATATGTGACAGATTGAAATATGGATGACTTTGTGTGTAGACCACACAATACTTAGGGGAGGGATGCCAAAAATAGCAAAAATAAACTTAGTATATATTAAGTATAGCACTAGTCCTTTGCTATGAGGAAAGCCCATTCTTTTGAGCTTTGGGAAGCAAAGAAGGCATGTCGTGGTGCCAGACAATCGAATGAACAAAAGGTGGGCAAATGTTAGAACCAGATTGAGTGTTATTATTTCTGATGATTTGGAATAAAAAAACCTGACAAGCATTCCTGAGTCCGATGTGTATAACAAAAGCTACCTCAAAATGCCTCCTGCCCAACATGCACACTGTTTGTAGTCAAGGTCACTTGGAAGTACCCAGGAGAGAAATTTGTACAGTGGGGTCTCTACTTAAGAACGTCTCTACTTAAGAACAATCCAACTTAAGAACAGCTCCATTTGCTAAATTTTGCTTCTACTTGAGAACAGAAATCCTCCATTGAGATCCATGGGGCTTATCCCCAGGTATAGGATTGCAGCCTCAACATTTCTATAATATTGAATCGTTAAAAATATGTGACAGATTGAAATATGGATGACTTTGTGTGTAGACCACACAATACTTAGGGGAGGGATGCCAAAAATAGCAAAAATAAACTTAGTATATATTAAGTATAGCACTAGTCCTTTGCTATGAGGAAAGCCCATTCTTTTGAGCTTTGGGAAGCAAAGAAGGCATGTCGTGGTGCCAGACAATCGAATGAACAAAAGGTGGGCAAATGTTAGAACCAGATTGAGTGTTATTATTTCTGATGATTTGGAATAAAAAAACCTGACAAGCATTCCTGAGTCCGATGTGTATAACAAAAGCTGCCTCAAAATGCCTCCTGCCCAACATGTACACTGCTTGTGTACCCAGGAGAGAAATTTGCGATTAAATGGTTTTCAATGCATTCCTATGGGAAATGCAGATTCAACATAAGAACTTTTCAACTTGAGAACCACCTTCCAATATGGATTAAGTTCTTAAGTAGAGACCCCACTGTATAAGATGACTGTTTTGTTCTGCTACTCAACACGGATTTGGGGGGTTTAGAATTTTTTAAATTCAATTGTATTTCTGCCGTGCTGGTTCTTAGCTTATGGATCTTGAGGTTCTAATTGATTCTATGAACTTGCAGTTTTCTCATATCATAGGATGTAGGGAAGAGAAAGTGGCTGTTGCTAGCAGAAAGATTGTCCCTTGGCTTAGATGACACAAACAACTTGTGGCAAGCTTCAAGTTCACATGTTGCTTTTCCCCTCTGTGCATGCTTATGGAAGAAAACCTGCACTTTTAACCAAACCAGGTCCATTATAAACACATGTGAACTATGGTTTTAAATGAATGTAATGTTGTGTTCTGTTGTTCATTCGTAACTGGAAATAGTAATTCAGGTGTAAAAATTTCTTCCTGGCTTCTATAGGAAGTCAGGGAAATAGTGAACGAATCTGATGTGGTTCATTCCAGCTGTTGTAATAGGCCCTGAAAGATGCTGACTGAGCCTGCAACATTGAGCACAAGTTGTACCAGAGGCAAGTCCAACTCATATACTACCAAACAGAGCAAAAGGGTGGACTAAATACTTCGCTTAACTGTGGCAACTCTTCTCTTATAGGTCATACTGTGGTCCATTTTATGTTGCCAGAGACTCGTGAATACTATGAACTGGAGAAGCTGTGGACACTCGGATCTCACGATGATCAGTTGGCACAGATAGTTTCAGAATCCTTACCTGATGATTTCACATTAGGAATAACGCCTGAAGCAGAATCATTAGACTCTGTATAAGACAGGGAATGGTTTCTGCAGAACTATGTTATTCACTGTAGATTCAAGTGGCAAGCCGGGATATATTAGTGGCAGTTCAAAGAAGGTGCAACAGACCAGCTAACCATCAACCACAGGGTGGTCATGGACTCAGCAGCAACCTTATGGACATGATATATGCAGCATCCTATCCAGCTTACTTAAAAGTATGTGGCATAAAGGAAAAGGAAGCTTCCAACTCATATTGCAAAAAACATTGCAAACGAAAGCTTGTATTATGAGATTAATTGATGGAAAGTCATTGTTCCCATGAAAGTGTTACTGTTCTTTTTCCCTCCGCTGTTTTATGGGGTATTGATCAATAACACAATCAGATGTAGAAGAAATACAAGTATTTTGAAATAGTCACTGATTTCATTGATTAAACTTGTTTGCTGTCCGTGGTAGCTCTTGTTATGATTGCTCCTACATCTATGAAGTTCAGAGCATGCCGAGTAAGTTGCACTTTCTGGAAACAGATGTATAGAGGCATTGCTTTGTGCTAACAATACAGTCAAAATGAATACAAACAGCTTTCTTTGTACATTGCTTTACAAAATTTTTATAGTAGGCCACTGCATCATCACCTTTCTATCCATTTCAGATATAATTTTCCAATTGCTACGAATAACTCAGTACAGGACACAATGACAACAGAAGGCGAAGGCTTCTCTGCTTTCATCAGTGCCATAAAGTAGAGAAGATATCCTGTATAACACATAGCTCATTCATGGAGATATTTTCTATTCACAATACAGTATGTGGAAACCTCTCTTGGAAATTCTTACCATCTGCACATAACAAAGGAACTAGTCTGCATTTCCCCACTCTTCCATCACATCCATCTCATCTAAGGTGCACACAAAACAAAAACTGATGCACCATGTGTCCACTTGCTTAAGTACAGTGCAGCGATCAAGAGGTCAAGAACTGCAACCCCCATTAGCCCTAGCCTGCATATCCGGTGGGGAGGAGCTCTGGAAGTTGCAGTTTCTACAAGTTGGGAGGTATGAGTTTTGCCCACTTTGGGCTAGATACACCATTGTCATACAGGACACGAAAGCCTATTCAGTTGTAAAGCACTGATTATTTGGAGGACTGCTTTCTTTAAGCTCATCTGAAGAACAGCTTGATTTCTAAAAGAAAGGAAAGCGGCATCTCCTGTTGGCATTCATGCCCAATATCAAATATTAATGCTTTTGCTGCACCTGCACAATGCATAGCCTTGGTCTGTGTCTGGTACCTCATCTGTAAATTTAAATGCGATTTTGCTGTCACCCATGTGCGTTTTGGTGTCTTACACCCCACTATATAGGAGGGCTAGGAAACACGACTGTTAGAAATACTAACAGTCAACTTCACTTTAGAGAAGAACATTTTCAAAGAAAATTCATAAAAACAAAACAAAAAAAGCAGTGGACCTAATTGTACCTCTGTGAACATACCTAATGTATCAAGTGGCACAAGGCTTAAAAAAGATTGCAGTGTGTTAACACTATATATTGTGTGACATCACATTAGCACCTTTCAAGATGAGGTATTTAATGAGTGGCTTTGCCAGTTCCAACCCCAAGCCAGTATCTGCAGCAGAGTAGGGATTTGAAACAACCTCTCCTGAGTCCTAGCCTATCATTTTACCCCCTACATCACACTGGGTATCAAACCCAGATATACAAATAAACATAATAACATGGAATATTAGGGTCAGCGCTAGACCTCAGTGGAAACTATGTCAATAAATTTCTTAATATAAAGAACTATTGTTTACCTTGAATCAACTGCCAGCTAAAGGAAAGGTGCAAAGCAGATCCATGATGAAATGTCACAAACTATGGGTGACAGTGGCCCTTCATATACAACAGTTAAATGTTGGGTTGTCAATTTTAAAACTGGCCATTTCGGTGTTGAAAATGAGAAGCCCAGTGGAAGGCCTATTTCTGTCTCTGTGCCTGCAAATGTGAAATGACATGATCATGGAGGACCGCTGAATATCAGCCAAAAGTATTGCTATATATCTGAGAATGTCACGGGAGAGAGTTGGTGCCGTTATCCACAACCACTTGGAAATGAGAAAGCTAGCTGCAAAGTGGATCCCCAAGCTTTTGACAAGCGAACAAAAGAGGAAACGTGGAGTCTTCGGTGGCCGTTTTGGAACATTTTGCAAGAAATGAGTCAGATTTCCTGGGCAAACTGGTAACTGGTGATGAGACATAGATCTACTGTTATGATCCTGAGACAAAGGAACAGTCTAAGGAATGGAGGCATAGTGATTCCCCCAGGCCAAAGAAGTTCCGAGTGCAAAGGTTGGTGCAGAAGCAAATGGCAACATTTGGGGGGGGGATAAGAAGGGAGTTCTGCTGGTGGACTCCCTCCAACAGGGTTCAGTCATCAATGAAAAATTATTACTGTGCTTTATTGATGAAGTTGAGGTGAAACATCAAGGAAAAACATCGAGGAACGTTATCCAAAGGTGTCATCCTGTTGCATGACAATGCCTCGTCTCATACTGCAGGTGAAACAATGGCAACACTGACCTCCTTAGGCCATCCACCCTATTCTCCCGACATGGCTCCTTCTGACTATTATTCTCTTTCCCAAACTCAAAAAACACCTAAAGGGACAACGATTTGGGAGCGTTCTGGAGGCAACTAATGCTGCAAATGAGTGGTTACATCAGCAGTCGAAAGAATTTTATTAGCAGGGACTTAAGAAGCTGCAGGACAGATGTTGCAAGTGCATTGACTTCCTGGGGGAATATGTAGAATACCTAAGTATTGAGCCTTTTTCTGGGAAAGGCTCAATACTTATCAGCACCCCCTCGTACACATTGCACACAGACGGTCTCTGGTTCAGTCCCCAGATTCTCCAGAGAGGACTAGGGCAGCTTAGCTTGAGACCCTGGAGAGCTACTGCCCATGTCTCCAAGACTGGGCTAGATGAATCAAGGATCAAGTGCACAGTAAGGTAGCTCTTTGTATTCCTAGAGTGGACTGTGGTGTAAAGGAATGTTGCAGAACTTTAGCCTGATGTTTCTTGCCTGATTTTTCTCAACACAATATGACCCATTCCGCTTACCATGTTCTTCCAGGGGGGATTTGGGTTTTAACAGGAAGGATAAGGGGGGGGGGCAGCTCCCATCTATGGCCTACAGTATTGGATGGTGTACAAATCCTGGTAAGAAACAAAGCCATGTTTTAATAGACAGAATCTCAACATATCTCAGGGATGTAGCCAGGCCCAATTCAGTCATCTAATCCCAGTTTATTACAACACCTCTCAGGCTGGATACTTGAATTGCCGTTTTCTATACTATCCCAAGCTCCATTTCCCCCCTTAAAAAATCTGAATCACACACAGGGCAAAAAGTGGCCTAGTGAAAAACTTTGCTGTTCCAGAGATTTTACTGAGAAAGTTATAAAACACCTCACATATCTGTTACAAGCATAAGCTTGATGTATTTGAATTAGTGGCACTGGCATACTTAATTTTTTATGGGGTATGAAATATGGGGAAGCCTGTGATTTATACAGTGGTACCAATACTTACTATTTCTACTTTATCAGAGTCCATGGGCGACTACAGAAATCATACATGTGCAAAGTCAGGGTTGCCTTCACAGGCCTTGTTTTCAATATGAGGTCTCAGCTGCCCTCTTGATAAAAACACCCTGGTAAAATTGTTGGTTTCTTATCAGGAAGCACAAAAGGACTTTTCATTAAACATCCCAAGGAGTTTTTAATGAAAAATTCCACACAGAAAATACAGGATGTATGAGGCTCATATATACATTGAGGCAGTTGTCCTGTCACTGCATTCTGAAGTTCAACTCCCTCAAGTCAACTTGAGAAGCTTACAGCTATAAGGTGTGTGCCAAAAATAAAAAAAAATCAATAGATCAGCAGTACCTTCCTCTGAAGTGAACCCATAAAATAAGACTTAAATCTAAATTCTGCTGAAAAGCACTCAACTGCCATGTTCATAATTTTTTAGGAGGTAAAACAAAAATCACACAGGGATCTCATAATAGGAGTTAAACTCTTTATTCCATTCAGAGGCATCTGGCAAGTGAAGCTGCATTGGGGGCACATTACAGAGGAGAAAATGATCAATAATACTTCTTTGAATACTGAAGTCATTTACAGAATCACATCCAAGCTATTTCCAAGTACTCTGAATTAACAAGTCTCAACTGAAAGCAAAAGACATGATTTTACCACACTAAAGTCTATAAATTTAAGAAAAATGACAATATTAAATCAGGAAATGTAAAATGCAGCACTTATTTTGTCAAATAAAATAGTTATGGAAAACAAATTAAACTTTCTCCAATACTATGAAAAGAATATTGGATTCAGACAGCAAAAATTCACACTATGACTTTCTCATACTTCAGTAATTGTTAAGTTCATTGAAAGGAAAAAAAAACCACTAAAGATTAGGCAAAGTACTGTCCAAAAAAAGGAAAAATGTTTCCATTTTCTTCTTTCTGCTAAACTACAACATAAATTTGTGGTTTTTAAACCAATTAGTAAAGAAAAAAATTCAGTAAAAAAAACAAAACCAGACCATTTTTCAAAAGTTACCTAGCCTGTACAACAATGATCTTTGGGAAAATGATCTATTCTATGTAGAAATGCCTCTATTTTCTTATTAATCTAAGAGGTAGATCAACAAAATGGTGAAACAAGCTTTTGTTTTTGCTAATTGTGCCCCTCAAATCAGTGCAGCATAGCAGTTCCAATCTTCTCATGCACAGAAACATCATAAACAAAAGGGTCCGAGGTAATAGCATGGCTCGTGCACACGGGCAGGCGCGTACACGCACAGCAGTCTTTATGCACCATGTGTTGCCACATTGTTCAAACTGAGGTAGACTGAAGTTTATTGTAGAAACTTGAATGCATATTACCACAATCATGATTCAAATTACATTCTGAAATTAAAAAAATAAATTTGGTAAATTTCCTGTGATCCCTGTCTTTTGATAGGTTTTCTCCCTCCTTTTCGTGGTTGGTTGCAGAACGTGCATAAATCCTGCTGTTTATTTTGTAGCCAAGCCTGAGGTTGTATTAACTCATTCTTATTTTTTTATTTTAAAAACCCTTCGAAGTGGCTTCATGTGGCCCTTAGTAGCGGCTGAATATGTAAACTTAGCCTTTCATTACCTTTAAAGGGGATCAAACAGTGCTGGATCTCTTCTCCCCTGCCCAATTATTATCGTAACTGAAAACAGTATGAAGCAATCTGCTGGAGAGCAGAGAACCCAAGCCTCCGAACTGCTCTAGCAGATCAGGCATCCTACCAAACTGAAGATGAAGCTTGCTCTTTGAACAGAACGGCAAATTACAAATGGGCTGCAAATGTTTTTAAGTGTAGCATTAGTACGTAGGTAGTGATGGT